CAGGGAGCTTATCAAAGAAGATATTTTAAAGACTTTTCGCCGCTTGAACGAAAACTCTGACACGTGATAGAGAGATGCGCATAATGCAATTAACATTAAAATGAATTGGCTGTAGAATGTGATGTGAAATGAAAACTGAATTTTTTGAAGTAATTGATTCTGAGCCCTTTCATGGAATAATGTTCGACAGATTAATGGTTTTGGGTGTCGAAAATCAAAAGCAGTTGGGAAAGCTGTTCCTCTTCAGATGTCCGCCCAAGCAAGAAACTAAAAAATAAAGCTAAAAAACACTTGAGTCAAGCACTTATTTTCAGGAGCTGTTCATGATGACTGTGGAAGAAATTCTGGTATGAATCTAAGTCGCTTCAACATTCTACATCTTGTTAACTTCAAAGTATCTGTTAGTTCTTAACGTTATTTTGTTTTGAGAAGCTGACAGAGGGATCATCGATACCTGTAAGGGATCATGGCTTTTCTTGAACAGCAAAAGATCTCCATGATCAACCCAACCTCCAAGGTTCTGTTGGCTACCTTTCAAACGTTTGCTGTGATTGGCAGTTTGCCCGTCGACATTATATGGTAACGCAAATGGTGACCTAATGCCGCATTTCTTCTGACAGGCGCCCAGGCAGATGTTCTTCATAATACGAACGTCACAAAACGGTCATGAGAAAATTACGACATAACATGAACAGGGCAGCTGGAAACTGAATTCTCTTTGGCGAAAATCAATATTTTGCTAGAGACGACGGTATATGCTGACAACATAAGCTGATTTTTATAGAACAGTTATCTAATATCTTTTCAGAATTTTTCAAACAATAACTTCACGGTATAAGTGGCTTCCTGTGCCTTGCCTTTGGATTCATGCACAAAAGCGCTACATACGCTTTATCTCTCATAGGATGAGAGCACTTGAGGTCAGCTGCGATAGCGAACCAATGGCTAACACGAACTAATAACAGGCATCTTGTGACCAGTTTTCTTATTTCTGTACGAGGAAATCATCCCACATAGTTTATCACTGAAGATCTGATCCAGTCAGAGGTTTTCAGTAAGAATCGTAGCTGCTGCACAATTGTTCACAGAAGACACGACGTCTACAGCTAATCAGTATAAGAATAAGCTGGCATTTATTCATTTTGCCGTAAATCTTTGGCAGAAAAATGAATCACGAATTCATTTCTTACCGCAAAACAAACAAACCAGGTACAAAAATTATGCCGACCTTGTCCTCCTTCAAATGCCCATCTCTCACTGCTCTTAGTAAAGGTCAAGAAGAAAA